GGTCCAAATAAATAAAGGGATATGTACATGGACAGACATTCCCTGTGCATGACTGGACACCCTGTGTGTGGATGGATACCCCCTGTGTGTGGACAGACAGATGTGTGCATGGACAGATACCCCCTGTACGTGGACAGATACCCACTGTGCGTGGACAGATACCCACTGTGTGTGGACGGATACCCCATGTACGTGGATGATACGCCCTAGGCATGGATGGATACCCCACGTGCGTGGACAGAGACCCCGTGGTTCTGAGTGGTGTGAAGATGTCAGCTCTGCCCAACTTGATGTGCGGTTCAATGCAATCCCGATCAAAATCCCTGTACATCATTTAATGGATGTCAGCAAACTGGCTCTGAAGTTGACCTAGTGAGGCAGAGTCCGTACGTGCAGCTGGAGTGACGCCATCTGAGCTGAGACACTGTAAACACAGCCACCACAATCAAGGCAGAGCAGCGCGGTGAAGGAGCGGAGAAAGACCGACAGGAGAGAACCAGGAGCCGGGACAGACTCACACCACTCATGGTCACCAGGCACTGGCACCGCCGAAGGGACACGGCGGGACGACGACGAGAGCCTTCTCAGCAAGCGCCGCTGTGACAGCTGGGGCCCATGTGCAAGACTCGAATCAGACCTGTCGCTCTTCAAAGCAGGTCACAAACCCAAACGTACAATGCAAACTTCAGAAACTCCTCAGTGACACAGGAGAAAGTCTAGATGACCTGGGGCCAGGGATGACTTTAACACACCGCACTCAGGCACAGCCCTGAGGGAACCCACCAGTCAGCCACACTGCACGAAGAGGTAAAACTGCGGCCCTGCAAGAGCAGCAAGCAGCTGGCCCAGAAGAAGCACGAGCAGAGCAGGCACCTGTTAAAGGACCATCATTCAAAGTCCTGAAATGTGGAGCACATCTGTAAGCCCAGCACTCGGGAGGCTGAGGCAGGAGGACTGGTATGAGTTTGTAGCCTGGGCTATAAAGTGAGTTCAAGGCCAGCCTGATCTATATAACAAGATCCGATCTCAAAAAAAAAGAAGAAAAAAAAAATCCTGCAACAAACACCTTTAAAAATTACAGGAACAGAACAAGTGAGTCTAAAACAGGCAAAAGAGCACAACACTACCCACTAAGGGCAACAAGCACGTGTAAAGGTGCTGCTCGCCACGGGCCCTGGGAACTGCAAGTCATGGCGGCAACGAGACACCACTGAGACCCAAACGGCCAGCCCCGGGTCACACACGCCCGCACACGGGCGCTAACAGCCCGTTCAGAAGCCGCAGACTCGGAAGCTGCGGAGGTGACCTTCAGCAGCGGGAAGGCCGAGCCCCGCGGCATCCAGCTGCGGGTAGCACCAGCACTGTAGGGAACAGCGCCCCGCTGTGGCAGGACCTGAAGCGCACATTGCTAAGGGAACGTGGGCTGCGCACTGTGGAACGGCAGGCACAGCGCGTCCGGAGCGGCAGAGACCGCTTGGGGCTGACAGGGAGCCGGGATGGCGAAGGACAGGCAGCTCCTCAGGGCGGCAGGACGCTCTGTGCCCCACGGTGCAGGTCCGGGGTGCACGGTGCCCAGGGCTGTCACCGTCAGAGGCACCCTTGGGTGGAGATGCCAAAGAGGAGGCTGGGCAGGGCACACGGGAGTCTGTACCTTCCCCTAGCTGTGGTGTGAACCTAAAACTTCTCTACAAAGTCGTGTGTTTAGGATGAAGCCTAACACGAGCTAGGCCAGCAGGCCCTCCAGGATGGCAACATGCCCCAGCGGGGCCGGGGGTCCTGCAGCCAGGCTGGGGGCCTCCTGCGGGCCTGCAGGTCTCAGGCCTCAGGCCTCCGGCGCACACTGAGCCCCACAGCTCTGTCCCCGGACCTGGCCCTGGGGGACCCCGATGCGTACAGCAGCCCCGCGCCTTTTGTCCTGCAGCTCAGTGCGGAGGGCGGACAATGACAAGCTGGTGACACAACACCCCAGGGCATCTTTACAGATCACAGCCCCAACGTGGGCGGCAGGCCAGGGCACCTCCCCGGCCAGGCACACACGGAAGTCTGCTCAGACGAAGCCAGAGATGCCACAGGCCCCACAGAGCCACACAGGGCTGAGGGGGCCGCAGGGCGGGAGGCGTGGACGAGAGCCCCCAGCCAGAGTCCGTGCGGCCCAGCTGGGGCACTTCGGGGGTGAGGCCCAGCGAGGGGCAGGAGGCCTGGGGCCTGGGTCTGGCTTCTGGTGGACGGGCACAGCGGTCCTAAGCTGTAGGTGAGAAGCGCCACACGCCACTTGCACGCACCTCAGGAGCTGGCTCTATATCGAGAAGGGCTGGAGCTGGAGGCTCGGGGCTGGTAGGGGCAGAGGCACCCAGGACAGCAGAGTCAGCGTGGAGACACTTGGGTGGGCGGGAAGCAGGAGGGTGAGGGACACCTGGGCCAGGTGTAGGAGGGGGCAGCAGGGACCGGCGGGGGGAATGGTGGGCGGCTGGGAAATGCTGGGTACAGCCTGGAGCCCAGTGCCCATGGGAGGGGCTAGGAGGGACAGAGAGGATGTGGGGGCAGGAAATATGGGGTCCAGGGAAGGCATCTGGAGATGGTAAGCCCTGCCCCACGGCCAGGGCAGGAAGGGTGCAGCAGGAGGCCACCCGTGAGTCAGCCCCGGCGCAGGCGGCTGATGGCTCTGCAGCGCCCCCTGGTGGCGTTTCTGTGAACCCACAGCCTTTTCATCTGGGGCTGCTGGGATCCCCAGGCTCAGGCCCCATAGCCCGCAGTCGGCAGCCCCTTCCATCCACACCAGTGCTGGCCTCCAACTCCCAGATGCTCCTCTCCCGGCTGAGCTCTGTCCCCTTCCCTGCCCACCGTCCCTCCCGGTTGGCCACATGTCTGCCCTGCCCCGCTGGCTCCACTGCCCAGCAGCCTGTGCTGGTGCCCCGCCCTGGCTCCATGAGGTCAGGCAAGGTGCTGTCCCCAGCATGCAGGACAGCGCCTGGTACAAGGAGTGAGTCATGGCCGGGCAGCGGCCGCTGTCCCACCTCTGGTCTGCAGCGGCCCTCCCTTGCACTCTTCACTGTCTGCAGAGCTTGGGTCTAGCGCCGTCCGGCCTGGACCCAGGCCCCACAGCACCTGGGCTGTGCTTGACAGGCAGACACCTGCAGGCCTGGCTGGACTGGCCAGAAGCACTGTCAGGCATCACCACATGGGCACAGCGGGAGGCGGGGGGGGAGCGGGGGGGCACATCTGTTTTCAAACAGTTGAGCCGGTTCCTCCCAGGCCCTGCCGTGCTAACAGCAGTCAGTTCTTGGGGGTTCCTGAAGCATGCACCTCCTGTCTGGTCACCTGCCCTGGGTAGCACCCTGGGGGCTAAGGCGAGGTGAAGGGTGAAGTCCAGGCCACGGTCACTTCCTGCATGCGGGCACTTCATACGCCCGCTGCATCGGAGGTCACCAGGGCCACACTGGAGACAGAGTCTCCTCCCCCAGCACCGCCGCTGCCTCTGCACAGGGTCTCCACTGGGCACCCGGCCCTGCCGAGTCCCGCCAGCATTTCCCAGCCCCCTAGAAGGCAGATCCCGTGGTGCGGCAAGCTGACCAGGGTGTGACACCGGCCTGAATGTGCAGGGGTGGCTCCAGGGAAGCACAGGTCGCCATGGCGACCACATCTGCACCCCCCCCAACCTGCGGGGACAAGCACAGCCCGGGGAGATGCACAGGGCCTGGTTCTCCCGGGACTGGGCCCAGGCTATGTGCGCTACTCCAGGCAGCATCCGTGAGATGGGGGGGGCATGACTCAGACGGGGCTGACCTGGATCTGGTCAAAGGAGAGTGGACAGCTGCGGCCAAACCCAGCAGGGGCTGGGGGACCGAGGGCTGGGCACTCGCACTGCAGCCAGCCAGAGTCCAGCCCAGGCCCTGACGGCCCCAAGGGCCGGGGAGACTGAGGGCCACCAGAGCGCCCAAGTGGAGGGCACAGGGGCATGCTGCCACGCGTACGCGCAGCCACTGGGAGCCCAGCAGGCCACTGGCGGTGCAGGCTGAGCACAGGGGCCCCAGGAGACGCCCAGGGACAGCACCCGAGCCAGCACACCTGGTGTCCACATGCAGGTGTCCACGCAGCAAGGAAGCAGAGGACCACAGCCTGGAGGCAGCTCAGGGGCGAGGCCGAGGGTGGGAAGGCAGGGGCGCCCAGCCCGCAGGCCAGCGTGTGCACTGTGGCCTGGAGCACACGCAACTCCCCACATACAAACACACGCACTCCTGAGGGTGCAGGCCTGAGCCTGTGCCAACTTCTGGCGGCCCAGGAGGCTCACTGGCCTCTGCTACTGACCATTCCGGCAGCATGCAGGGGGCTGTGGGTGCAGGCACCAGGCTCTTGCCCAGGGCCAAGTGAGGGAGGCCCAGCTCTGACAGGAACCACAGGCCACCAAGAATCAGGGTCCCACAGAGGAAGACCCAGAAACCGCCCGGCACAGGCAGCAGTGGAGCCCCACCCCCAGCCTGAGGGCAGGTTTCTCTGCCCTGATGTCTGTGTGTGTTGCAGGGGACACTGGTACCTCCAAGGCTGCGCACCCTCCTCCCAGGGCCCGAAGTCAGTTCTGGCCAGCACCTAACACGAGTGGACAGAACAGAGCTCCTGAGGACCTGGCCAGCACCAGGCTGCAGCATGCCATCAAGGGCATGGCCTCTGGGCTGCTGCCCGGCCCATCTGTCCAGCAGCCCCACCCGGAGGGAGGTAAGGTTCCAGAATGGGTGGTGTACATATGCCTGCATTCCCACTGAGATGCTTTTCCCAGACCAAAACCACACGGAAAAGACACAGGACACCCTGGCCTCCCATCCTCCATGCACTCTGCACCCCTGCCACAGAAGCCACGGCCCAGGGACCACCCAGTGGCTGGGACTGGGCTAAGCACCAATGATTTCCCCTTTCTCTTGAAAATTAGGAGAACTGAGATTAACTGAAGAGACCTCACGTATAACCCACTCCCCAGTTTCAGAGGCCTTAAACGGAGAGGTCAAAAGTTTCCAATCTGGAAAGGAGTTTATTCTCCAGGGGTAACGGGACTGCCGGCTCCAGAAATTCCCTTGTTTTAATGAGCACATATTTACTTCAGATTACAGAACCTTCCTTTATCTATGAACATGGTACTCCTCATTTCCCAATTATCAGACTTGTAACCTTAAAACATTTCTTCACCTAAACTCTGACCATCAAACCTGAGAGTGAAGATGGTTATTTCTGCACTTAGTTCCCCATCTGGCTCCAATCTCAGTTTCCAGGACACACTGGTGAGGAAAGTCAGCACTGCTCCTGTGGCCAGGCAGGAACCACTGTCTGTGGCCGCCACTACCCCTGTATGTCGGGCTCCCTCCTCCAGGAAGATGCCCAAGATCTGAGCTGACCACAGCTGCTGAGCGCCCAGCGGCATGCACAGGGCGCCACTCGTGGTAGTGGCTGGGCGAGGCCGTCACTTCCTGGCGAGCTCCAGCACACTCTTCACCATGGCCCCGATCCCGTCGTGGATATGGTGCAGCTTGGTCTCACACATGAAGGCCGGGGTAGTGACCACCTTGTTCTTCCGGTCCACATGAGCTTCGTGTGCAGGGTTAGGGAACAACTACTCACAAGGCTTGACTTAGGAGGGCCCGGGGCCCCAGAGGCTGGCAGCTCCCAGCAGGACAGTCCCTCCGGGCGCCGCTGCCACAGACTGCCTCCCCGAGTCTCAGGGCCCCAAGGAGCTCAGCCCACGGGCACATGCACGCCCCAGTGCCAGCAGCTGCCATCCCTCTGGGTCTCAGGTCCGGGATGCCCTCCTAGTGCAGGGACTGAGCCAACACTGAACGCTGCCACTCAGGTGTGTCAGAGAAGCTCAGCTGCGGGCACAGGCCCACGGTCCCCCACCCGCCGCACAGGCCCAGCCTCCCGCCCCATCAGCCTCGGACCCACCCTTCCGCTGACCAGCGTGGTCGGTGTGGCAGCTCCCAGGTAAGGCCCCCAGCAGGGGTGCCATGGGGGAACACAGGGACGCCTGAGGGCCACTCCCACCAGCAAGGATATGGTCACATCCTTCACGCAGTGCGTGGCACCCAGGGCCTTGATGGCCTCCGCAGTCCCGGCGTAAGGCCACTTGCCACCCTCTTCCTGCTCGTGGCCCACGGTGACCTCAACACCTCTGAGCACCTTGGCTGCAAGGACAGGCGCGATGCAGCACAAGCTGGAAGCAGAGGGGACGCATCAGTGCAGGGACGCACGCACGCACGCACGCACGCACGGGCAATGGGCGGGTGACTGGGGCCCAGCACTGCTACCTGCTCCCTCAGGCACCAGGGTGTCGCAGGCCTGGGCGGGCCAGGGACAGAGTGCTGCGGCAAGCAGGTCCCCAGGTGCGTAACCACATGCTGGCGGAGGTCAGAGGCCACTGACCGGACTGCACATGCCTGGCGCAGAGGAGGGTCCTAAGTGACTGTCCAGGGGGACCTGCAGTCGCAGCTCTGGGGGCCACAAGAGTGGGTGGTAGGCACCCCACTTCCTTCAGCCACGCGTCTGCGCCCACTCTGCTCCAGCAGGGGCTCTAGTGCCCCAGGACAGACTCCAACAGGAGGCTGAAACATCCCAATGCCCGGTGACTAGATGCCACTCCACCACTGTGCCCACCTTCCTGGGCACAAACAGAGCAGCTTGGCCAACGCATAGACCCGCACGGACCCTTGAGGAGGGCAAAGGCTGTGTCTGCCCAGGCCGCCTTGGACCCAGCCTTGGCTGGTAGGGCAGGAAAGGAGGCTGCAGGGGGAGGCCGAGGCCAGGAGGGATGGACTGGGATGGGCACTGCTGGAGGGCGTGAGAATCCTGAGCACCTTCTCTAGGTGCAGGAGCCCTCTCGTCCTGGTCCATCCCCAGGACAAACGCCCACTGGAGCTGGCAGGCACTGAGAGCGAGAACACCTCAGTTAACCACAGCAGACAGCAGGGGGCTCCTGGGCCCCCAGGCTCCGAGCAGCCTCCAGCCCCAGCAGCCGCACATACCCGATGGGCTTCCCGGCCGCGTGGAACTCCTTTAGGACTCGCTCCACGTCCTCATTGACTCTGCAGTCCTTCCCATCCACAGCGAACGTGCTCCTGCCAGCGGAGGAGAGGCTGCCTCAGCGTACTCCGGCTCTGCTTCCGCCCAGGGCTCCTCCACGCCCCACCCCAGTGCCCCCAAACCGGCTCCGCTGACTCCCAGGGACCTCTGTGGATGCGCGTGCGCAGCCATTCCCGTAACCATGCTGTCACGCACACAGCCTTTTCTCTCTTCCACACAGACTGCGGCGGGGATGCCAAGAGGCAGGGGAGGGACCCAGGCCCGGGCTGGCCAGGTCAGGGTGACAGCGCCCTGCGGAGCCAGGAAATGTGACGGCACATTTTTTGCCTAAGACGGCAAAAGGCGCTGGCTTCATCAACAATGAAGAAAAGATCTCGAGGTTCCCTGTTTGCTCCTAGGTGAGAAGATCAAGAGCCAGGACCAGGGAGGGGAGGTCTCTGTGCTGGTCAGGGGCAAAACCTCACAGAACCCTTCGCAGCTAAACGAGTGCAAGCTTCAGGCCTGGAACACCACTTCCTGCAGTCTCGTCCTGCTCCGGTCCTGCCCTCTGTTCTAGGACAGTCTCGGCACTGGTGCAGGGCCTGGAAACCCTGGGATGAGACCCAACCCAGCCGGAAGTGGCGAGGGGGCCAAGTGTACCAACACACCCAGCCCCCCAACTCCACGTGTGCAAGCCAAGAACACCTCCAAATCTACAAAGAACAACCCAGACGATGCTGGAAGGCAACACGCAGCCACCCGAAGGGACCAGCTTGCCCCCCAGCAGAGTCTGTGCGAGGCCGAGCAGCTCCCGGCCAGCTCCAAACTGGACCTGTCACGAACGCCCGCCCAGAATGAAGTGCTCAGGCTGCTGCCACGTTGCAGCCACACCCACAGGATCGCCAGAGTGCAGAGCTGCAATGTGGCTGGGGGCAGCGGCGGGGGTGGGCAGCTGGGTGCCCACGCTAAGCCTCCTCCTGGATGCGCTCACGCAGGCCCCGTCACCAGGTGCCTCGTGCAGGCACTAAGTCCCACCCACTCGTCACCCCAACTCCCTGGGCCTCACGACACAGGCAGCTCTGAGAACCGCTGGACGGTGATCACGCAGGCTCAGCGGGGGCCTGGCCTCTGGGGGGTTGCCTCTCCCTTGGACAGGTCGGAGAGAATGGGAGCGACCACCAGAAGACAGCAGTGTCCCCCAGAGGGGACCACACGCTCAAACACATGCCTGTACTGAAACACAGGCCCGCCTGCCTGCTTGTCTGAGCTTCTAAGCAGACTGGACCACCAGCCACACAAGCAGCCATGGCCCCTGAGGAGGCTGCCACTGGCCTTCTGTGCACCAGGCAAGGCACCAGGTCAGAGAAGCACCTGAGAGCTCAGCCAATCTTTCCAAGAAACCTCGGTCCTGTTGGAAGTGAGAGCCTGCCAACATGTCTTGCCTGGTCCCGACAGGAGCACAACGGTGAGGAACAAGGAGAGCGCAGGCGATGTGCTGACTGGGGTAAGGCGCCACAACGGGGGCCAAAGTCTTGGGAAGGGGTCCTGACGCTGGTGGGCAAGGCCCTGGGCTTCAGAACCAGGCAGGCACGTTTGGCTACACCTCTGAGGGCAAAGCCACTCTGTGAGGTGCAGGGCAGCAAGAAAATGATCAACTTGTCGCTGACCACAGGGCAAAGGAATCCAAGCAGCTGGCTGGGACCGGGCTGGGCTGGGACCGGGGAATATGGACACGGCTCCAGGGCCCAGAGGATCAGCGGCCAGGGCCAGGACAGGGCAGGAGCCAGAAGGCAGGAGACTGGAGCTCCGGGAGTCCTGCTTGGCGCATGACTTCAGGGAGGGAGAAAAGGGTGCTTCCTGGATCGAGGCCCCATGGGGTAGGGGTGGGGGTGGGTGACACTGCAGAGGCGGAGAGAGGGAGGCTGGGAGTCTCCGGGTGCTCTCCTGCAGGGCAGGGTGCATGGCCCTCACGTGCAGGTACCAGGCACAGCTGGGGACCTGCAGGCATGGGCAATGCTTGCTGGGGTAGACTCCCACACCCCAGCATGGAAAGCACCTGTCTTCCGGACCAGTGACAGCAAGGGGTCAGCGGACCACCACACGACTCTGGCGCTCTGAGAGAGACTCCCACTGGACAGCCAGCCATGCACAGGGCTCAGGAAAGGCTTCTGCTGGGAAGTGGCCACGCACTGCCTCTCAGGCAGGGGTGTGTGGAGGTCAGCACCGGGAGAATTTCCACAAATGCCCAAGGAGGGAGAAAAGAACTACAGAGGTCATGAGGACCCTTGCCCGGGAGCCTGCCAAATCCCGCATCCAGAGGCCGCTTCCCACAGCATCAAGCAGCGAGAGGCCCTTCCCGCCTGGGTGGCCCGCCTTGCAAATCACCTAACAAGCGGCAGTGTCTCCTCCTGCAGGTGTTGTGCAGGAACTGGTTGCCGCAAGGAACAGAGACTGACTTCCCAAAAAGAGAGACTGGGACGGCTTTGCTGAGAGGGCCCCGCCCACCCCGACAGTTGTCAAGGGCCACGAGCGCTCAAAGAGGAGAAAGCAAAGAGCCACCCTTGCCGGGGCCGCCTCTCGGCACACACACCAAGCCTACAGCTCGCTTACGCACAGGTTTTTGGCCGCTCCGAAGCCTCCAGGGAAGATGGCTGCATCATGGTTGGCTGCGTTGAGCTGGGCCAGGCTGCTGATCTTCCCTCGGGCGATCCTTGCGGACTCAGTCAAAACATTCCTGGGAAGAGCAGAGATGAAGAAAGGATCGGTCACCCGCAGGGACACGTCCGTGCGTAGCTCAGGCCCGGTGGAAGTGTGCTCACAAGTGCTCACACGTGGAGACCTAACACTTCCCACATGGAATACGTGCAGGAGCCCGGCAACCTTGAGCCTAGGCTGGGCTCCTTCGGCCTGGCCCTTCAGGACCGATGCCAAACTACTCAGAATTAGGGGCTACCAGAAAAGAGGCCCCTGTGTGTCACTGGAGCAGACACAACCCAGTGCAGCCCATGAGGACGGTGGCCACAGACGCCAAGAAACCACCACTCAGCTTGCCCCAAGCCATGCCACGACCGGCAGTGGCAGGGGGCTACTGCAACCTGACTGTGGGAACATGGGGACCAGTGAGCCTGCAAGAGAAAGGGCAGGCAGGGTGCTGAGTGGTGGTGGCAGGGGATACGGCTGTGGTGCCTCTCCCCACCCACCTGAACCCACTGGAAGGCAGCTGGGGACACCTGAGGGGCTGCCATCCACAGTCAGGTCAAGGCCAGGGCCACGCACACCTTGGGACAGATATGCTGCTGGGACTGGAAGGTGGGGCCCAAACGGTACCCGAGGGGGACCAGACTAGAAGGGCCGCCTAACACGGAGACGGCAGCTCAGCGTCTCTCCCCCGCTGGTGGTCCAGGCTGTAAGACACACCCGGGAACTGCCACACAGCCTGAACACGGCTGCTTCCGGGAGGTGCATGTGAACCCCACAGCTTTGGGCCGCAGAGCCGTGCACCGTGGATGGCGGCCGCTTCCCTCCCCGCCTGCACCTGCTCTGGTTCTCGGAAGGCTGCCCCTGGGTGTGGTCAACCACGTGCATCTGAGGGATGTCAGGGGCGAAGATCTGGACCTCAGCTCCTCCACGGCTCAGGTGCACCAGGATCCTGTGTGGGAGGAAGCCACAAAGACGGCGCTTCAGAGCACACCCGACCCACACGGCCCATCAGAGTTGTTACAAAATGGGTATTAGTTAAACGACAGGTGGAGCAAACACCTATGTTCCGGACATCGCTTGCTGACACCTAAGTGCCTGCACCTCCAGCTCACTGCCTGCTGGTGGTCAGGGCAGAACTACAAGGGCAGACTGTGCAGACCACGTGTCCCAGTGGCTCCCTGCACAGTGGGGTGCAGGGGGGCATGAAGGAGCTGCTCAGGTTGCCAGGCTGCTATGGGCTCCCTGCCCTCACAAAAGGCCGGCATAACCTCCTGCAGCTGCCCACGGGGGGGAGCAGCAGCAGTGCACAACACCCACACAGGGTACTCTTACTGCCCCTTACACAGATGAGAAAACTGAGGCAGAGGGGCAGTGTCCTGCCCAAGACGACTGAGCCTGGCAGTCAGGATGCAGCCCTAGCCACCAGGCGCCACAAACACAGCGCCTCACTGGGCTGCCTGCAAGGCGCCAAACCCACAGAAGGAAGCACATGCTGGTGCTGGGCCGGGCAGAGCAGAGCCCGGGGGCTTCCTGTCTGGACCACCTCCGGGTGCACACGGGCAGTGCCGGGCAGCTGTCTGCGGAACCACAGCCTCGGCCTGCGCTGGGCGGACTGTCCCGATGTGGCCACTGAGTTTTCTCAGCCCTGAGCCGGCTGCAGTAAGATGCTGTGCCAGGGTGGTCTCCACCCCACCGACCCTGCTCAGGACCGTTCCACGGAACCAGGGCACACACCCAGCAACACCACAGGCCGCCTTTCAAGACCCCACAGTACGAGACAGCAAAAGTCACAGGTGGAAACTAGTTCCCACGGGGAAGGAAGCTTTGCCAAGGGCAGGACAGCAGAGGTCAGTGTTTACAACTGTTTGTAAACGTCTCTGTGCGCTCAAAGACGTAGAAGTGACATGTTCAGCGGTTACGCACCAAGCCTGGCAGTGCACACCGCTAAGTCCAAGTACTTGGGAGCCTGAGGCAGGAGAACTGAGTTTGAGGCCAGCTTAAGCAATTTAGGGAGACTGTGTCTCAAAATTAAGGCTGGGGTGTACCTCAGCAACAGGGGATTCAATCCCCAGTATGCCAAAAACAAAACAAAAAACAGTAACTCAGCCGAGCATGGTGGTGCACACCTGTGACCTCCGCACTCTGGGAGGCCGAGGCAGAATTCTCAGTTTACCCTGAGCTAGCTACACAGCTCAGGGCAAAGGCCCCGGATCCAATCCCTTGCACCGCAAAAAGCAGTAACTTAGAAGTTTCTCTTACTTACGCGGAGGCCTCGTGGACTTCGGTCCCGTCATACACTCCGCAGCCGGACAGCACCTGCGGGAGGAGGGCGCTGACCAGGAGGGGCGCCCGCGGGGCGGGGCGGGGCGGGGCGGGGCGGGGGGAGCCCAGGGGGGGG